TTTAAAATTGTCAACTAAATCTATGACACTATTGACTAATTTGTTTCGGAAGTCTCCAAAATATCTATTTGCTGTATGAAGCCATTCAATACCTTTAGTAGAATTAAGCTCGCATTTAAAAACTTTCTGTACCAACTCCTCAAACACACTTTTCTAGGGATTTCGCATACAGAGAAAAAGACATTTCAATTCTTTTAAAAAATCATGACATGCCTTTGTTTTATTTTCTTAACTTGGCATAGTATTTAGTTCAGAAAAGTTAGAAGACATAAATTGCAATCCTTCTATGATTTGCATTTGCATTGACAAGTGCATATAATTTGCTAGCTGCAGAACTTTAGGGTTCTCACATAACCATGAGCAAAGCTGATAGATCATCATTTTATTTAAGGAAGAAGGAACAACTTTATTGGTTATGTCAAAGTGATGAATTGAGTTAGTCTCCGCGTCATGAGTATCATTCCTCAGAATATTCATTGCATTATTTCTTGATCTTAAAGATGATATTGGTCTAGACCGTGAAGTATTATTTAAAGAAACATAGTCGAATTGACTATTCACTCTTGAATTCGAAACTATTTCTGATGCTCTGTTTAAATCAATTTTATTTCTTAATTCTAGAGCTAGCGTTGATCTGTAGAGAATTGGACTATCTTCTCTTGAATCAGGTATTGACATTAACCTTGAAGATGCTATTCTATTTGAAGAAATAAAGTTATCTTGGTTATGATTATTGCATCTTGAATTAAGCATTAACTTGTTTTGACTATTGGATTCTGTTCCCTGTGTAGTTGTAAAGTCTTGAGCTACTGACTCATTATCGTTAAAAACATCATTATTATCAGAAATATCATCATCGTTGAAACTATCATCGTTAGAAATATTGTCACCCATAATATTAGAAACATCGTCATTCAAAAACTCAGTAATTATTTGTGATGGCTGAGATACAACACTTTCTTGTTTCTTTTTACGCCCTCTTTTTTTTTATTTGGTATATTATTATCACAATCATTTGAGGACAAAAATGTAACTACTACTTCTTGCTGCTTCTTTGTGTGACCTTTTTTTGTACTTTTACTTGGTGAAATAATGGTGTTACTCAAGAGATTATTAAGATCATTTAAAGATGAATCAACTACTTCTTTTCTCTTGCAGCCTCTTTTTTTGGAGTATTGGTGCTTATTTTTTTATTTGCGTGACTCTTTGTATTTCTAGAGCTCATTATTATTTAGAAAAATAAAGAAAAAGCTAATCAGTAAAATAAAGAGAAAAAAAAATAGTAATAATAATTTGATCATTAATTATTTTTTTTTATAATCAATTGATCAATTAACAATCAATTTACAATTTAAATAAAAATTGCATGATTTTGAAGAACTTATTTAAACCCACCTTGAAGAACTTATTTAACCCGTCTTGAAGAACTATATAACTTGAATTTTACATACCTGTATAAGTATATATACCCTACCTAATACGTTTGCCTGTATATTTTCGCCTGTATACTGACTATATGTAGTAATTCTTAATTTAAAAAGAATATAGAATTGATTTTTGATTAATCGCAGATCCTTGTATAATCGCAAACGATAAAATGTTTCACAATTATTATATTTCTTATAAGAAACATAAGACTATATAAGATGCTTATGTGGTATATTTTATACATTTTTGAACACTGAAGAATGTAACAATGAAATTTATGAAGAGATAAATAATCATATAACGTCAAGCAAAGAGTCATTCAATGAAGAAATTGACTATGTAATATCAAGTGAAGAGTCATTTAATGAAGAAATTGATTATGAAATTACAAATAATTATGAGTCACCAAATGAAGCTGAAATCTATTATGAAGAGTCTTTCGATGAATTATTGAATGATGAAGAAATTTTCGATAATGAAGTGCTAGTGGATGAAGTACTTAACGATGAAGGACCTGACAAGATTGTTGATGAGGCATTAAGTATTGAGAAGATACCATCTATTAGTATTGAATATGCACTATATTTCAAAAGCATAACCGAAGTGTTAATGTTCTCTTGAATTCAAAAATATACCATATGTACATGTAGAAATTCAATTTATTAATGAAAGTAACATTTTTTTCTTTTTTAATTAGTAAATACTTAATTAATATTTATATATATTTAATAGCTACTCAAGCCTATGATGAATTAGTGAACATAATTTTCATCCATAGTTTAGAATTGAAGATATTGTAACGAACGTCTATCGGTTTAGGAAGTATTGGCAAAGGCTACCTTTACTTCTGATTAAAAAATGAAATATTCATATTTTAAATAAAAAAACACCTTCTACTTCTAAAGACACTAAGAAAATGCATTATCTATCTATTACTGATATCATTTGGTATTCTGTAAATAACCCATTATTATTTAGCCAAATGTACTTCGGACCAGATCAGAAAATTACAAAAAACTAATAACTTTGGCATGGTGATATATAGAAAGAATCTCCACGATTCGGGCAAGCATCTGTACAAATTAACAGAAGTATGTTACTTATTGTATCACTTACTTATATTATAGAAGAAATTACATATAAAGACGAATAAGGGCCAGAAGTGAAAATAATTACATATAATTTTGAAAATTTATAATTAAGAATCAAAATAATTTCGCATTATGATAATAGTTCTTTGAATATTATCACTGTATAGATATATTACTTTATTTATTTTATAATATACTCTTTCGCTTAATGAAACTTTTTTTAATCAAGATACAGATAGACTAGGTTAAGCATATTATTTATTAATCTTGGAATGTTTATTCAGTTTTAAACTAATATAACTATTCTAAGTAGTGAAGGTTACTATATGTTAATTAAAAATATTTAGAACTACAAAAACTTAAAAATTAGAAAAGTAATAATTCTTGCATGCAAGACATTAAAAGAATAAATATAATACTATTAAAGAACAACATGTCAAAAAAATTACATTTATATGTTAAAACTTTGAATTTAATTAGTTAAACTCTTGATCGTAATATTTTCAAAATCTGAACCGAACTATTTTAACTTTCATTTTTGGGCCCTTATATGTAATTTCCTCTATATTATATAAAATTTAGAGATGAAATAAAATGTTGGTATCAAAATTATAACAATTTTATTTATATTACTAATTTTAGCAGTATACAATTGTGGGGAGTTTATAGTTTATAGAGAACTGACAAAAGAAAATAAATTTGGTCGAATTCTATCAATAGTAAATATAAATGGCCAGCTCAAAGTAACGATTCAACATGTTTTAACATTCAATAAATTACCTAATAATCTGCAAAGTAATATTTGAAGAGAAAGGTTTCGTAATAAACTGTGGTTATTAGATCGAGAACTAGATGATTCAATTATAATTATCGAATTACAAAGCATTGTCAGAGTCATCCCAATTGTCATCTTATACAATGAAGACAATATCAATATATTATCTTCTATTTTATTCGTGAAATTCTTTATAAATATCAAGGACATTGGAAGTTAAGAAGTGTCAAATATTCCTACAAGTATCCTTTGGAATTTGCACCACTAAAGATACCAGAAATAAACTTTCCAATTTACAAGTCATATATCAATCTTTATTATGATGATTTTGGAACGTACCGCAACACCTATCACTCACTTGGGGTGTGTATGTTCAAATTGGAAATTTAACTTTTAATAAAAGGAAACAACTTAAAAATTACTTTGTTATTAGGTTCGTTCTATTTGGTAGTTGTTTTAATGATTTCATTATGCTTTTTATAAATGAGATGAAGGAATTAGAAAAAGGAATTATAATGGATGTGCAAAGAAACAAAAGCCTTGTTATTGCAAGTCTCGGGGATGTGACAGCTAATCTGCCGCAGGGAAATGACTTAGCTAGAATTAAAAGACATGGTGCTTTAAGAGGATACCGTACATGTAATGTAATGAGAGATTTTTGGACTTCTAACGATCTCAATTTATCAATGGTTTCCTGTTATCACCATCTTACCAATAGTCAATTTAAAAAAATTTCTTCAGCACCAACATTAAAAAGATATAAAGAACTTGCCACTAAATATAGATTATATTTACAACCACCAATACTTGATAGATTAAAAAGGGAAAAACATCTTTAGTCACCACAAGATATCTATTATTTACAGCCAGTAAAGTGTTAAGATTTTTAAAGATAACAATTGAAGCACTTTTAACAGAGGGAAAATCAATGTTTATAAAATTTTAGAAATCTTTCGAATATCTAAAAATGTGGCAAAAATTGCCTAATCCTATCTCACATCTTGATAGTTTTATGATATCAGATTGTATATGTCTAGCTATGGTGATACTGTTTATTTTTAATAGATTTTTAGAACCTTTACTTTTCAAATCTTCTGAACTTAGTTTATTTCAGCAATGTACAGAAGTTTCTCGAAGTGATTCGGCTATAAAGCTTTGGTTGAAATATTGGGTATTAATGGCTAAAACAATAACAATAGTGTTTAAACAATTTTTCACAAATGCCGATTATATTAAATTGCACGAATATTTAGATAATGAAAGAAAATTTTTTCACAGTTAATTAACTAAAGAGTCCATACGATCACATAATAGAGCATAAAATTGGATTAATTTTTATTAAATTTTATAGTGTTTGTGCAAAACATATATGGGTTGTTGCAATTTATCACATTTATTATATATTACCTTATTATATTTATAATATATACAATGAAATTCAAGTTATAACATTATTTATAATAGGGCTAAAATGATATATTGAATCAGGGCCACTCACAAATTATCGATCTTGATTCACATTATTAGTAAACATAATATTTTTATTTGTTATCTATAGTAATTATTCACAGTAGCTTAATACGTACTAATTTTGAAGCGTCAAAAAGGTACCTTAAACAATGTATAGCAGCACAGTTAAATAGCCACTATTTCAATATACTGTTTCAACTTTGAGTTTAAAAATATATATAGTTTTTATAGTCCCTCATATTAATATCACACAATCTGAAATTATTACTTTGACCGCTTTAATTAATGAACATTAATTGCTAAATATTGTTATTAATATAAATAATACATTTATTAATAATAGGCATTCAAGGATTTTGAGAATCTTCCAAATTTATATGCAAATTACCATTTAGTACAGCATGCAAAAAATTATGCAACTTTGTTAAATACAAGCATAGAGACAAAGGAAATGATTCGCCGGCTATTTAAAAATGATATATCACAAATAAATCAGAAAAATATAGACCCTGATTTGTTAAAATAATATATAATATTATTTGCAATATACCATCTACTGTATTTGATAGTGGCATTGACAGACACTTTCCTTCTATAAACAACACATTGACGAATCTTCTACATCAATTTAAACGTTTAGTGAATGATTGGTTTATTATCGAAAATCTTATGATCCTAAAGACAAAAATAAAGGTTTGATCAAATTGTTTTTATTGAATTTTTTGTTTTTTTTTAATTAATAATTTTATATACTTTTTCTTTGTTAGAGCATATCTCAAATGTAATCTTAAAGAAGCGTATATCAAGAAAAAGGGTTAAAAATTTGCTAAATAGTTCCGATTTCCGTAGAAAACTTGCATTAGTATATCGAGAAATCGGTTATGAATCAGCTTTTTTTGAAAGTTCATGTCAATATTATGAACTCGCTTGTTTTTTAGTGAAAGACAATAGAATGGATTATCACCTGCATGTTGGTGATGTCATAACTATAATTTCTGAGAAGGATGGTGAAAGCTTTTTTGCGATTCTATGATCAATTTTTAGCCATAAAAGAAATGATCAATATTTTGCTTTTCTTATTATTGATAAATTTGAACTTACTAGTCAAACAAAGTTAGGATGCCCAGTTTATAGGCTCCAAAATACACGAAAGATTTGTTTCATAAGTGAAGTTGACACAAACAGTACAGTATATTTTATTCATTATTGTAGAAATAATGAATGTATTGGAGGTAGTGACTATAATTTTGATAATAGGCTATATATAAAAAATATATATTTTTTCAAAGCTGTGTAATATTATGATCACAAAATATATGTCTCCTATTAGAAAGTTTAAAAAGTATTTTTTTTTCTAGCTATATGTTTTCTATTATTACTATCAGGGTTGGTCTGGATCAATCTTTGACCTGGTCAAAGGGTTTGATAAACAGTAAATTATATACAATCTTATGTATATAATATATTTATTCAATAAATTTAATTAATAGAATTGACTTTTGACTATACCAATTTGACAAAGACTTTTGACTATTAGCTAGTAGATTTTTGACCAATATGTATATAAAGTGCTGTGGCAGGTCTAGTTACAGGATTAAATCGGGTCTTACGTCAAAAGATCATGGGTATTATCACTACTATATAAGCAATTTTTTTGCAGTGTACTATGTAACTTAACTTCTTACACTCTTAAAAATGGGTTATATTGTCGCGTATATCATGAGGACAACAGCGACCTATACCAAGATTTGACAATTTCTACTTTTATGATTTCAAAACTTTTTTAAACTCAAAGTTGGTTTATTAGTCTGTTATTCTTAACTATTCTAGTCATGTTGATTTTGGTTATTTTTCTTTTTCCTATCATTCTTTTTAATACTGTACCAAGAAATTTTTGAAACTTGCCCTATCTGGAAATAGATCTGTTAATAACATCTTCCTTCCCTTTATAAAACTTCTAATTGGTGCTGGAATATATCTTTGCTTTCAATAAAACATCAGTATAGCATGTTATTTTCGTAATACTTTTTTTTGCCAAAAATTAACAACTTATAATATAGGAAGCGTAAGGCAGTTTCGAGCTTCAATTTTTAATTGGTCCTTGTTTCAGTTTTTTGTAGCCATCTTCCTTATGTTCTTAATTATTTTTCCACGTATTCATCATTTTAGCTTAGTTAGTAGATTTCCCATTATATTTATTATAATGTTTTACAAACTTTACTAAGTCATATTTTCGCTAAACAATCTTCTCATTATAGCTCGACCTTTAATTGCATGATAATTACAACTCATTTTCATTATAACGAAGGTTTTATAGGTAAATTAGATATAGAATTTCTCGATATAAGTTATATTGATATTTTATTTTTCTTAGTCTGACAACTTTACTATGACAAGGGTGGTTGTACTAAAGCAATTCTTCTTATCAACATTTGAGCTCTAATCTTGATCTAAATCCTGGTAAGTATGTTTCGCTTCAATTTATCTTAATTCTATTCATAGTTGGTTGATAATGACTTTGTTTTTTATCATACTTCTATCTCATTTTTTGATTAATCTTATATTTTCTGGATCGATCTCGGTTACATGATGAGTTATATATGTAATTAGTATTTCTCACAGATATTACTGATTCTTGTTATAAAATTTCTTTTTATTTTTTTTGGCGTTTTCACTAACAATTTTATCAATCTTTGTAGATTTTTTTCTAACTATTTTTTTGCATCAAAAATTTCACCTTTCGCATGTTTGAATACACTGTTATAGAGACAAAATTTACAATTTATTTTAGAGAAATTCTATTTTTACCCAGGTTAAAGTCATCCGATATATAATTTTTATTATACTTTATAATATAAATTCATATAATATCGTAAAATTCATCTACTCTAACCTTTAACTAACCAATCTATAGAATTTTTAGTTGGTTATAGTAGTTTGTATTATATAGTATAATGGAATTATATCTCAGGTGACTTTAATTCAGGTAAAAATAAAATTTCTCTTAGATTTAAAATAATTTGATTATTTATTATTTTAGGTCTTTTATATGATATAATTTCTCCGTATAACAAAACTTTTCCATTTGATAACCAAGGCACATCTTATTGAAGCAACTGGAACAATTAAATTTATACTATTGATGGTATTGTAGAAAAAACTAGTGACTATTTAAGGTTTATCGTAACAAATTTAACCTATGAAGAATTAAAATTATGTATCGATAATCTGTGTTTTTGTAGTTTCAGAAACATAACTTATATGTAGGTAGATAGCTTATAGTTTTAGGTATCATGTAGCATATGATAAG